TTCTTTTAAATGTTGGAAAAGTGTTAAAAAAAAGCTTTAAGAAGCGCTTAAAGCATTCATTTATTAAATTCCTACAGAAAAGAGGTTTAATTAATAGCAAGAATATTCAGAGATCAAAAGAATATCTGGCAGTATTTAAAGGATTAGAAATATTAACTTTTCACCCTAGAAGCTGTATCATATTTTACATTGGCATTTTTATTTTAAAGTTCGAGAAAAACGCAACCGAAATGCATTTGCAAATATGTGCTCCAAATTAATTGGAGTTTTTTCTATTCCATTAAATTGTTGCAATACTTGGAAACTGCTTAGATGTACCTGTAAAAATGTATTGGAATTAGATACTATTTTTCCTGAGTGTATCTGTATCTCTGCTTGTGGCAGTATTCGCAATTCTTTCTGTTTTTGTAAGATTTAAACAATTTTCGCTGTAAAAACTACTTTGGGGGAGTACTTGAATCATTCGTTTGTAGCCCCATTCCCATTCAGATATTCGCAGATGAGTGCGAGTGGCGGCGAGTACGCGTATTTATCCAAATGGATGTGGGGATCTTTAGTTGTTTCTGTATCTGCATCTGGGGGGATCTTTGGCTGTGTATCTGTGGGATTGGCATAAAATATGACTGAATAATATAAAACAGAAGGCGATACATCAAAGGGGATTATACAATTTATTCCGTTTCTGGCTCTTGCCTGGCATTTATTTTTTTTTGTTTTCTTTTTCTTACTTCTCTTTGGTTTTTATTTTTGTTTATTTGTTCTGTAAATGCGGAAAATATATTTTCTTCAATTTATCTTCATTTTTATTTTATTTATTTACTTTACGGAATCCAAAGAAGAGAATCAGAAGAGAATTGTGTATACAAATTGTGCGCAACGCATGTTGAATGCCCCCCTGACAGATAGATGCAACAGATGCAACACAGTCTATTTTTTTTCTTCTTCGAGGCCTGCAGGGGCATGCATCTTTGTATCTTTGTATCTGCAGCACATGCTGCTTGGCTGCCATAATACATTTTGGATTATTTATATTATTTTTATTCCAAGAGAAGTCATGCCCCTATGTTGTCTCTCACTCTCTCACTCTCTCACTCTTGCTCTTTGCCACAAGGGCGGAAGTGTTGAAGGAGGGTAGGAGTGGGGGTAGTGGCAGGGACTGGGGCAGGGCCAGGGGTCTCGTGTCTCGTGTCTGAGTGAAGTGACGAGTGTAATGACTTTTGTCGATTGGGTTAAGTGGCCTTGTTGTCGGCTTCCTCCTTCCTCTGCTTCTTCTCTCACTCTCTCTCTCTCTCTCTCTCTGCCACACATTCGTGCCTCTCAAATGTGTGGCAGGAGAGATGTTGCAGAAGATGCAGATTCCTTTCTTTCAATTTTTATATCATGCCACACGGATTTATGCCACTGCTACGGCTGCTGCCTGCTGCCTGCTGTGCCTCTCTTTTGCTGCCTTTCTGCCCCTTGATCTCTTCCCTTTGTTGGCCTTTTTTCTATACCTTTTTCTTGCCCGTTTTTGTGTTGCTGCTAAAGTAGCTTGAATGTGGCACGTTTGTGCTGCTGCTTCACTTTCTGATACCCCTTTGGCAGAGAGAGAGAGAGGAGTTCAATGCGATTGGGAAGTGTGTGAAGGCATAAAGGAATTGTCTGCCTGACAGACTTTTTATCCGAATAAACTGCAATATTTTGGTTAACTTTTCAATGATTTTTCCACTCCAAAAATGATCATTCTTCTAAGGATATTCCACCAGGGTATTTCCCTGCTCAGTGAAACTTTTTACTGCCGCTATCGGACAGCGAGCGGCGGTAATTTGTCTACAGCATTTTTTCCTCTTTCGGTTGCTCTGTTTTTGCCTTCCTTCTTTTCACCGCTGGAGAACCACACGCTAATCGTGAAATGTGAGAAAAAGGGACTTCGGACAAGGGATTCGTTCTCTGCATTCGGCTGCGCCCTCATCTTCTGGCTAATTGAGCTGCTTACAGCCGAAACTGTGGCATGTGTGGCAAGACAGGGGCATCGCAGCGCAGCGCATGGGAAAATCGAAAGTGAGTTTGTGCGGGATTTGGGTTTCGGTTTTTCGTTTATCAATTAACAAAATGTACAGAATATTTTTGTGATTATTTCAATTGATTTTTATTACATTTATGACGCGTTTAAAATTAAATTTGCATGGGAGATTCGTTTATTTCTTCATTTTATTCCATGAAAAGTTTCCGCTTCCGCGCCCACACAAAGACACACTCTCTCTCCCTCTCTCTTTCTCTCGCTATCTCTGTCTCTGTCGTGTGTGCAACAGTTCTGCAGCGAAGATGTGGCAAAAAGTTCACTGAACCACGCCGATCGATCCCTGTGATCCTCTGCCATAAAGAAGGAAATAAATAATAATATACAACCTCTAATGATGCTGCACACACAACCTAAAGATACACAATGCAGAGGGGCTTACAGACACAGACACAGAACACGGATACAGATACAGATACATTTAAATGCGCTGTGGCAATAAAATATGAAGAACCAAAAAATGAATTCAGAAATAAAAAATGATTTTTAACAAAGGAAACGTGCGGGAGGGGAGCGAGGCAGTGCGCAGACACACAAATAAAAGTGCAATTAATCACCAGAAAACCAAAGCAGAAGATGCGAAGACTGTGGACTGTGGACTGTGGAAAGGGAAGGGCGGGAGACTAAGACCCTGGAGACCCTGAAAGACTCTCCTCTGACACTTATCGGCTTTATCTGTGGCTTTATGTGCCATCAAAAGAATGAGAAATAAAATCGAAAATAAATGCATGCACACACACACACACACACAGACACACATGTGGAGAGCGTTGTGTGCAGTACACTCGAAGAAAATATGCAAAGGAAATACTTGCAGTGTAGATCGTTAGATACTCGTTAACTTAAAATATTTGTTATTATTTTTAATAATTTAATTTAATTTTTCCATGGCAGGTTATGGGTTATAACATGTTTATAGAAAGAGTTACTCAGGGAAATATTGATTACACAATTTAAGAAATTCTTTTCCAACAAAGAAATAAAATATATATTTTAACAAGGAAATTTGTATGGCTGTGGGAAGGAAGTGAATGAATTCCTAATAATTATTACTAGCTATAAATTATAGATATCAATCACTCTTTTCGCACAGTGCACAAAATAAATGCAAGGGAATTATAAATATTAAAAGAAGAATCTGCAATGCGGATTGTGTGGATCATGGGGCACATTGAAAGCGGAAAAGAGATGGAAGGAGGATCTTTATGGCTGCGCTGCTGTCAATATTTGATTTTTATATATGGCTTGGCCTCTGCCTGCCGCTCTTTGATTGACTGCAGCGGTGCAATAGGAGGCAGGGGGTTGGGTCTGACGATCGCAGCATCAATTTTTAATAATAAATGAAATGAAATGTGTGAAATAACAGTCGAAAGAGTGAGGAATGGGAGAGGATCGGAGAGTAGAAAGAACAATCGGAAAGGCAAACACAGCGGGCAAGCAGGAAAGCAGGAAAGCATAAACATGGCCAACACCCAGCACTAATACAAAAGTAAATAAAAATAACAAAAGTGCAGAGAGGAAGGTGCCGCTGCAACTGCATCTTCCAACTGCATCCAACTGCCAGAGAGAGCGATGCATTTTCCAAAGAATTTCCACAAGCACATAAAAAGCAAAGCAAACGATGGGCACCCCACCCTGCAGGCGCGACCGTTGGAAAAATATTTAAAAAACCATAAAAACAAAATATTTATCGAAAAGAGATGCTAACGAGAGGAAGAAAGAGAGACGAGGAGAAGCAGAAGAAGAATAAGCTGGAAAAAAAAATATGAAATCTGCCGGTAGGGGGGGGGGGGGGGGAAAAAAAAAAAAAAAATTAAAAAAAAAAAAAGTAGGGGGGGAGGAGTGGGGGAGGGTAGATGAGAAGGGGTGGAGAAGAGGTGGATAGTAGAGGTGGAGTAGAGGTGGATGCTAATGCATTCATTCCTCTTGCGGCTGCTTCTCCATTCATTGGTGGGGCACCCTTCAGTCCCCCCTCCAGGCACCATTTGCTGTTTGATTAATGCACTCGAAAGCGACAATAAACACGGGAAGAACGTACGGGAGAGCAGGTTCCCGGTTCTCCACAGAATCCACAGACAAACAAATATTGCATTCCAATGGTCAAGCGATTGATGTCAGACGCGCGGATCTCTGGCGGGGATCGACTTGTGGCAGAGGGATACACTGAGTGGTTCAGAGACCCAGGGATCGGATCGGATCGGATCGGTTCTCTCTCTCTTTGCAGTTCTTGAGTGAACATTTGCCGTTGCCGTCGCCCGTCGACGTCTATTAGATAAATAAATACAAATTTTTATTAAAGTGCGAATTCTGTGGTCTCTCGCTGGAGACGGGCAGCACTACGGAGCGAACCGGTTAGGTCCCCCCATCCCTAGTGTAAAGCCTCTAATTGAAGCACACTTATGGATCCATGGATCCATGCAGAAAAAATGCAGATAATATTGAAATCCGCTCAATCGGATCGAAAGATCAATCGACCGCAGGGCCACAGGAATTTTGCAATCTTCAATCACACACAGGGGAGCGGAGTGGAGTGGAGTGGAGTGTGTTCCAGTGACTGCACCACAGAACGGTACAACAAATGACACAAAAATGTGTGGCACACACAGCCACAGAGAGAGAGAGAAAGAGCGTGGAGCGGTGACGACAATGAAGCGACGTGAAGCACGTGAATGCTGTCAATCATGAGAAGGCCCGTGATAAAGAGGAGGCCCCACAACAGCAGCAACAGCAACAGCAACGGCAACAACAACACATTCCACACAAGGCAAGGCAACAGCAACAGCTGTGACGTCACAAAAGAGGCAGCAAAATGCCGCCGGCAGAATATTTCGTATTCGAATTCGGAAATAAAACTCCCAGCCGAAAGGCGCGCGAAACGTGAATCAAAACAAACGATCGAGAGAGGCCAAGAGGCAGATTGTGTAGCGGCGAATATCAGGGGGAGAGAGAGAGAGAGAGAGAGTCAGCAGCGCGGTGGCAGCGCAGCAGCAGCAGCACGATCGAGGCGAATTCGCGCTCTTTTTGAATTTTGTGAATGAATATTGGACAGAAATGGGAAAACGTAAAGAGAGCGGCAGTTAAGAGAATGATCCACAAGTGTATTAAGAGAAGGCGGAAAAATATAGATAAAGAGAAGAATGATCGTTGGTTGCACTTACCCTCTCTTCCTCTCGTATCATTTCCGCTATTCCCGGCTTGATTTCCATGTCGTCGGCCAGCGATGAGCCCGAGGGGCCGCCAACCGATCCTCCACCCTGTGATCCGCCACCATGATGATGGGGCGGTGGCGGCGGCAGGCGTGGCTCTGCAGAGGCACCTCCCCCACCTCCACCGACTCCATGCGGTGGCAGGCCACTCAATTCCATGGCAGCGGCCATTGCAGCGGCGCTGGGTCCCAGAGGATAGCGCGAGTCCCCAGCCGGAGAGGCGCCCGCGGAGGACACGCCATGCTGCGAGGAGACGGGCGACAGTCCGAGATGCTGCGAGTGCGAGTGATGCGGAGGCACAGGTGGCAGATGCAACGGATGCTGCTGCTGCTGCTGCTGCTGCTGATGCTGCTGCTGCTGCGAGTGATGCTGCGGGCTGGGGGCAAGTCCACGCGAGGATCGCGGGCCAGGAGTGGCCGCTGGCGAGGGCATATCCAGGCCATGGATGGCCGACTCCAAGGCGGGAGTGAGACGTCTCGGTGTGCCCCCTCCTCCTCCTCCTCCTGCTCCAACCTGCGAGTGCGGCTTGGGCGGTGGCGTCATCAGGGAACAGTCCCTCTGGCGCTCCCTCTCCTTCTGCTCGAGCTCCAGCCGCTCGGCGGCGATCAGGCTGCTCAGCGGACTGGCGGGCGGATTGAAGATTGTGTCGGCCGATGGCCAGCGTCGCTTGCGCACATTCCTCCCCTGCTGTCGCTCCAGCGGGGAGAGGCGCAGCTCGAGGTTGCCACCCGCCGTGGAGACGGCACTGGACTGGCCCGAGGACGCGGGATGATAGTCCCAGTCGCCGCGTAGCTTCTTCTCTGGCTGCATGAAGGCCAGCAGCTCCTCGGCCTCCCTCTGCTCCACAGAGCTGTCGCGGTGGGATGTCTCCTTGGGGGAGGAGTCGCGTGCCTCCGAGGCGGCTGCCGCTGCTGCTGCTGTGGCAGCCTCCATGTGGGTGACATCCGCCAGGCCGCGCACCTTGAGCATCTCCGCAATGCGCAGTAGCGGACCGATCTGATCCTGGCTGACGTTGATCTCCCCGCGATACATAAACTCCACAATGGCCTTGAGATCGCCCCAGGAGACGTCGCGCATTATGACGATCGGATGCTGGCAGGGCGTCTCCGCCAGAAGGGTCTGGAAGTACGGCGAACAGGCGGACAGCACCATTTTGTGGGCCTTCATGGAGCGGCCATCGCAGGCGAGTGTCACATCCACGAAGCATTCGTTTTGCAGCAATTGATCGAAGATCGTCGTTAGGTTCGATTGATAGTTGTTCCACCGCAGACAGAACTGTTGCGACGAGGGTGTGGACGGGGGCGAGCCAGGGACAGAGGCTGTGGGTGAACCGGCCACAGGTGATGATCCGATACGTCCGCCGAGTCCTGCAGCTGTTTCCTCTACTGTCTGTCCAGCTCCTGCTGCAGCTGGTGCTCCTCCTCTCTCCTCCGATCCTCTGCGATCTTCTGTGGGGGAGCTTCGATTGCTGCTGCTGCCGCCCTCCCGGGGTGATGTTGTGCCACCGCTGCGCTGCCTTTGGGCGGATTGTGCCTGCTCGACGTTCGATTGCGTTTCATTGTCTGTGTTGCTGCCGCCCCTTTCTGCTTCCAGTGTTTCCAGCTTCACCTCCAGTGAGGCCATTTTGAGTGTTTATCGATCTATCGATATCGAACTATCGATGATCGTTTATCGATTAACGATTGATCTAACCGCGCGTTTATCATTCACATTGCACTCAAGACGGGGCTGCCAAAAGGCAATGCTAAATGTATCTCTTATCTTTTATAAATGTATCTATGTATCTTTATCTATGTGTAGTATGTGTGTTACGTTACGTTACGCGCACTACGTAGTACGTTAATGACCCATCTGCTGGGAATTCGTTTTTTTGGGTGCCTCTTTCTGGTCTGGTCTGGGCTGACTCTCGCTTCGTGCCTGCCACACACTACTATTCTGTGTTCTGTTGCAATGTTTCGTATGGCAAATGCCGGTTGCCCGTGAGCGTGTGTGTCTGTGTGTGTGTGTGTGTGTGTGTGTGCGTTTGCGTTTGCGTGTGTATTGGCCAACAAACAGGGCCAAAAGTCTTCTCAGCACGAGCGTCTGAATTAGACTGAAATCGTTTTGCACATTTCGATACGGAAAAACTCAAAACAAACTTAAACACACACAGAGGCAGAGACAGAGACAGAGGCAGAGGCACACGGCACACGGCACAGACGAGGCGGCAACACACAGAGGCAGAAGCAGAGGCATGCGGCACACACGACGGCTACGAAACGTCCACGACGGCGACTCTGACTCCGACGACTACGACTACGACTACGACGACAACTACGACGACGACGACTACTACGATGATGATGATGATGGGGAGACGGTGCCTGAAACGCGGTGTTTGGTGGCTCTGTCTGTTGCTGCCACACTGCCTTTGGCACTGCCACTGCCACTGCCACAACTCTGCCCTGTGTCAGTAGTTGTAGTTGTTGTGCCCGCGAATTGCGAATTGCGAATTCGCTGAGGCAGGCTGGGGCCAGGCCAGCGACAAAGTTCGCGAGAGTCGTCTCCGCCGCTACGCTCTGAAAGGAAGGAAAAGCCAGTGGCAGGCAGGCAGTCAGGCAGCGACGCAGCAGCAGCAGCAGCAGCAGCAGCAGCAACGACACGAAAATTGGATGCGGAGAGCAGCAGCAGCAGTCAGTCCGAGGCGCCAAAAAACGCCGGCTCCAAAACGCCATCGCCGCTGCAGTCGCAGTCGCATTCGCATTCGCATTCCTTTGCTCGGATAAACGACTCTCGGTGGCGGCGCCACCGACTCGGACTCGAACTCGAACTCGTCCTCGGCCTTCGTGCAACCCCCAAAAATGAGGAGCAACAGCAGCGGCAGCGACAGCAGAGGCGCACCACCCATACAGCTACAACAGCGAGATGCAACTTGCACAAGTGCCACAAGAGGCACAAGAGGCACATTCAACGCGCGTTAGATGCGTGTGCCTGCCCCTCTGTCTCTTCGCTCTGTTTGTGTGTGTTTCAGTGTGCGTGAGGAAACGGAAGTTGCCCCCAAAATGCAGAGAGCAATGTGGCATGGCGGCGCTTAGGCCTAAAACCTTTTTTGTTGTCTGTTGGATGCAAGGTGCAAGGAGTAATTTTCAATGGGAAAATAAAGGAAATTTTAGGTGATTTTTGGGAATTTTTGGTAATAATTTAAGGCTCTTTGGACTTACTTCAAAATTGATCTTTCAGCTTTTTTTATTTTTCGCTCTTTTCTCTGCTGCAAAGACATAGATTCTGCGATGCAAAAGATTCTTCATTAATTAGTTCCGTTCGCTGGCTGCCACCGACTCAATCATGCACCTACCGTCCCCCGCTCTCACTCTCTCTCTCTCTCTCTCTCTCTTGCCTGTTTCAATCTTCAGTTTGCTCGCTCTCAGCAGCAACAGCAGAAGCAGCAGCATAGACAGGCAGCGCAGTCAGCGGCAACGTCAGCGTCGCCATCGTCGTCGTTGATTGTAAACAAATGCTTAGGCGAAACGGAAAAGATGAGAGACGAGCGACTAGCGACGACAGCATGAATTCGCCGCAGTCTTTCGTTTCGGTTCGTCTGCTCTCTTTTGCGCTTAAGAGAAGAGCGAGCCGTCGCTACGTTTTCTTCTCTTTTCTGCATGCCTGCACTTTTTGGCCAACAACTATTTTAGATGTTTCTTTTTTTCTCTCGCTCTTGCCCGAGAAGTCTGTTGGGTGGGGGGGTAGAGGGGGCCGACTGAGGGCTGAGACTGGTCAGATATTCGCGACTCTCTATACAACAGTGGGTGTGTGTGTGTGTTTGTGTGTGTGCAGGTTCGTGTTTGAATTGCATTTGTAGTTTTTGTGATTATTGTTTTTGCCTTGCGCATTTATAATATGCATAAAAAATAAAAAGAAATACGAAAAATCCAGCAAAATATATGCCAGAAAGAGATGAAGATACTCGTACCCACAGAGTGCGAATGAGGGAGACAGAGAGAGAGAGAGAGAGAGTTAGTTTAGAGGCAAAGGTAGGAAAGAGAGAGGCGGAGAGGCAAGGCTGCTGCTTCGGCCAGTCATAAATTATGCATAATTTTTTCGTGACTGGCAAATGGCGGCATCTCGGGGATACATTATAATAATAAACACAGCCAAAGCTCACTCTGCGGGGTCTACCCCCCTCAGTCGATGGCCATGGCATCTAGTAAGGGGAGGGATGGGGAGGCTAGGGAGGTGGGCAACAATGTGATCAAAATGTATTTTGTTCCGATCAACGCGCGACATTCAACCATAATTGACTTTGGCAACTTTTGATGGAGAAAAAATACACACAGAGAGGGGGGAGACGTGAAGAGACTTTGTTTCAGTGTTCAGATACAGCTTTAGATACGTTTTAGATAAAGATACTTTAAGTTTTGCCATTACTTAAGCAGCGCTTTGGAATGAAGATTTTTCTGTGAGATTCTGTCTGTAGATACTTTTGTGCGTCTGAAAATTGTTTTGTTTCTTTTCCTTCCTTAAGATAATTTATTTTAATATTTTAATTTGATTTGAAGATGTTTTGGTACTCTTATAGGTATCTAAAGACGCTTTTTGGCATTCCAAAGATACTTTTATGTTAATTTTCGAGCCCAAAGATACTTTTGCATGCTTTTGAATAAGTCATAAGAAAATCTTTGCATACCTCTATACAAAGATAAACTTCAACCCCTCTGCACCTTCTTGCTCCGTGCCTGCCCCACTCTGTCGCCTGCCACTCGGCTGGCAACAAATGAATTGCAGCAAATAGCAAACAGAATTTGGATCAAACACTGAAACATCCAAACTGCAGCATGCAGCATGCAGCAAGCACGCATTTTCCAAGCTGTTTGATTGCATGTCGGGGCCACATTCCCCCCGCTCGAGGAACGCGTTTATACGAGAATTTATGTATTTAACTGGTGACGACGACGCTGACGAGCAAAACGATGACGCGGACACACACAGAGCAGCGGCAGGAGGACATGGATGTGGGATTCGGATGTTGATGTGGAGGGAGGTCAACGCATGCTGCTGGCCAAAAAAGCGACGAAAGCCTATGCGACAAGAGTGGCAATCGGAGTGGGGTTTCGTGGGGTGTTGCGGCGTGTGTGGGGGGAAAAAGATGACAACATTTGAACCAAACAAGAGACAAAGTTGCAGAGGCGCCGAACGAGTGGCACAGGCGTGGCATGGAGTGGCAGCGGGGTGGTGTTAGTGGACACTGGGAGATGGTCGACTGTCACTGTCTGACCCCGTGGCTTGGCTCAAAACACTGCGAAAAAGTTAAGTTTTTTGATTAATAAATGGGAGTAGGGAAATGTAAGCTGCGCACAGAAAGTTAACCTAAGTGAAAGGCTGCTGAAATTGCTGAAAATTTGAATTTTTCCATTTACATTTTAAGTTTTTTGTAACCGAAAAGCAAGGAAAAATCTCCAACAATTTATCAGATTCAAGCTCCAGCTTGTGTTGCATTTTTTGCAGTGTAGCACAACCAAAACGAGGTGACCAAACGTACACAAGTGTGTGCCAGCAGCAGCTGAGGAAGCGCCAAAGGCAGAAAGGTTTGGGGTGTGGCTCGACTACGACCCAAAGGGGAGGATCAGCGGCAAAAAATGTTGCATATTAAAACGGCAAATAGAACAGTGCAACAGCAACAGCAACAGCAACGAACGGTGGACAAGGGGGGAAAACCTCCACGGCTGCAGCTTAGAGAAATGCAGAGAAAGCGGCACAACCCTTTGCTGCTGCTGCTGCTTGGGGTTCGAGGTTCGGGGTCGCTGTTGTTGTTTTGTCCACCTTCCACCAATGTCTAAAAGTTGGCTTACACACAAAAGCGATGAGCGATGATGCCTCAAATATGCAAAAATGCCTAGCGCAATAAAACGTAGCGCCCCCCGAGGGCCACACACGGCAGAAGCAGCAGCAGCAGCAGCAGCAGGCAGCAAACACAGCAGAGAGGCAATGAAAAAGGGAGGGGGAGAGTCCTCTGCCTGCCTGGAGTTAGAGATGAAGCTAAAGGCTGACTGACCAGCCGGGCGGGGGCCTTGGGGGGTTGGGTTGCAGTTTCGTACCAAAATCCACGAAACGAACTTTGAAATGCAGGCGCAGGCAGGACCTCTCGAACTCCGCTCGGACTCGAACGTCGCGATGTTGCTGCCATCGCCGCTGCTGCGTTGCTAACGATGCCGCCGCTGGGCTGTCTGATTGGATTGGGGCATGGGGCAGCAACTAGCGGGTGCGGAGTGTGGAGTGTGGCATGTGGAGTGTGTGTGGCACATATCGAGGAGTGGCGTTTTGCAGCGGAGTTTGGGTCTTGGGTAGAGGGGTGCATGCCACAGACACAAACACAACAGATAGACAGGAGGTCGAGCCATGGAGAAACAGAAACCGGCGGAATATGAAGGGACATTTTACAGGGGAAGAGTTTGGCTCTGCGAAAAGAATATATCCTATAGAAAGTGGATCTTTAATTGAGGAATCCTTTGTTAAGGTCATATTTCGGCCTTAGATTTCGCCTGAAGAATTTCTAGAAATTGTTTGTTGCGTTTTTTGTCTGCTTTTGGGCATGCAAATATTTTTTTTCTTATTTTTTGAGCCTATGGAAAATTCTGTACATTTTTTTGTGGCTGAAGATACTTTATCTTTACTGAATCTGATCGGTTCTAAGGATCCTCTGGTATTGTTTTTGTCTGAAAATATACTTTTAGATTGTATCTAGGCAAATTTTTATCTTTGGGAATAAATATTTGTATTTAATTTATTTGTTACAATATATTTTTTGTATCTTAGATGTTTTTTCTTTATTTTCTGTTATTAAAAAAATATTTTTTTAATATTTGTTTTGCTCAATTTGCATTCCGGCTTTCTCCCTCAACAAAGTTCTTGCTCTTTGCCAGTGAATTTCTCTCAGTGCTGGTTCCCTGCCTCCTTGGCTGAGTGGGCGGGGGCCCGCATTGATGGACAGTTAACGCGGCAAAACGAACGCGAAAACAGGGGGCCCAGAGAGATGGTCAAAAAGGGGCAGAGAGGCAGGAGCAGGGGCAGGATTCTGTTCCTCTGTTGCTGCTGCTGCTGCTGCTGCCTGCTCCTTCCTTTTGCCTTCCGCTGCTGCCTCTGCTGCTCCTTCCTCGTGTGTTGCAGGGCTTAGACGACGCAACTGTACCGAGAACGAACAGCAGGACCAGCAGCAGTCGCAGCAGCAGAAACAGAACCAGAACCAGAACGAGGTGCAGGATGAGGTCCAGTCGCAGTCATTGGGTGCCGTGGCCCTTTGGCAAGATTTTCGCGTGCGTTGCAAGTTGGCCAGCCTATGCAGCACTCACCCCTCAGTGCCCCCTCTCAACTGCTGCTGCTGCTGCTGCTGCATGGTGTCCATCTGCTGCTGCTGCCGCCTTGCCCCATGTGTGCGTTGCATGTGTGTTTTTGTAGATTTTGCGCGCTGCGCCATTTGATTGCATTGCGTCGCTCGCTTCCGCTTCCACTTGGCGGCATTGTCGCCGCTCCTTTGGCTGTTGCTGCCACTGCCACACCCACTCATTCCACTGCTGCTGCTGCTGCCTCTTGTGCTTGTGCCCCTTCATTCATTTATATACAAATGAACGCCTCTAGTTTCGCCACGTCCTCAGTGCGCTCCGCTCCCCCCAGCCCCTCTGGCATTCAAGTGCCAGACGCAGGCAAATAATTTCCTACTCTTTTTTCTGCTGCCAGATACTCTGTGTTTTAGGAGCGGGTATGGGGACTATGTGGCGGCAAAGGAGATTTTCTAGATTTATTTTTGAGCGATTTATGTGGAAGATTGGTGGAAAATCTCCACTTTTGGTGCAAGTTTGAAGGAAAACTTCTGAAATCTTTTATTTTTTGGTTTTAAATGGAATTTTTCAATGGATTCTCTTTCGATAAATCAGTTTTTCACTTTTCCTGGAGATCCTTAGCTGCTCGAGTCTCCTCGATTGGGTATCCTGTTGTCGCTGTGGCTGTGCCGCGACTGGCTATTTTTATTATTGTATTTGTGTGTGACAGAAGGTAGGCAGGCAGGCAGGCAGCAGCATCGTCAGACGGCGCTTCTCGGTGGCTTCTGTCGTTTGTCTGTTGTTGCAAGTTGTTCGGGCTGTGTGTGGGGGCCATGTGGTCAATGCAAGGGGCAGCAAAAAGCTGCATCCACTTTTGTCGGGGCCATTGAGAGGATTAGTTAGCCAGAGGCAGAGGCGCAGAGGCAGAGTCGCATATGTGACGCAGAATCCACTTGGGAGTCGCCACTCGAATGCATCCTTAAAGCCCCGCTTGCAGACTTTAATCCTGCGCTGCCTGCTGCACTCATAATTCTCTGAAATAATTCCAAAGGAATCACAATAAGCACACGAACCCAGGGGATGTGCCTCATTAAGGGGCAGGGGCAGGGCTGATTCCCTGATTGAAGTTCTTTTTCTGTTGCTCAAGAAAAATGCCTCAAAAGATTTTTGTGCGCAGACTAATTAAAAAAAACCAACAAACAAATGACAAAAACAAAATAAAGAGAGAGGGGAAATTGCAGGCAGAAAGCTAAGAAAATATAAGGAGGGAGGGAGGGAGGGAGGAGAGGCAGGGCTGCTAATTGCCACCGCCGTGCGATGTTTTGACAATGCAACCAACGACGACGAAATCAGCAGAAGAAGAGAGAGAGATGGGAAAAATCATTCGTAATTGTCTAGGGAATCGTTTGAACTCCCACCCCCCACCAAGCAGCAGCAGCTGCAGTGGGGGGAGGAGCTGATTACACGAGGACTTCTGCAACATTTCGGGAGCAGCTTGAAGAAAACTTCGCCACAGCAGCTAAAGAAGTAGCAGGAGGAAGGAAATCTGTGTGTGTGGCACATTCCTAGGCATGAATGAAACGCATACACACGCGTGCCACACACACACACACGCACAAAAAGCATGAATGAAAATTTGTTGCAACTGCAGCACACAGAGGGGAAAAAAAAGTGCACTGGGGTTTGGGGGGGTCCACATGCCACATGCAGCGCCACGCACG